ATACAGTAATGGAATTCGCCTGAAAAATAGGGGAATCCAACTGTTTAATAACGGAAAGAGGATCAATTAGCGTGTATCACTCCTAAATTAACCTAACATGATCAATTCTACATAAATTTCGCTGCTACCGTGTTGTATTTCATGTTTTCGCGCGACTGTATTAATAAATATAGTGAGGTAATCAAGAAATAGAGTGTATACTATTCTTTTCAATTTGATTGTATATATTGTATTCAATTCATAGATATTCATTATTCATTATTATACATTGTATTTAATTCACCGTATTCAATTCGACTGTATTCAAAAAATAAAAAATCACAAAACACAATAATATTCTACTGTATTTATAAAATACAGACCTTCGAAATACATAAATACATGCAAAAAAATTGTATATATACAAAAATATAATGTATTTAAGTATATTTGTACAAATACAATGTATTTGTATCGGTGTATGTGACTAAATAGCAAAAAGAGAAGAAAGTTTGCTAGAGATAGTATTTTTTGGCCAGGCAAAATACTTTATGCATTGTATTAAAATTAAAAATGAAGACGAATAAAAATACGACTCTCAAATCTTCACCAGCGTAGCCATGGCCAGATCTGTTCGCCGGCAGTCAGCGAGCTGCCTGGATGTGAGTTTATAGAGAATGTTGATATGAGAACGTGGCACGAAAGTAGCAGTGCTAATATTACTTTTTCTTCTGGTCTAGAATTTGGGTAAGTTTAACAACAAATCGAATCTGAGATATCAAAAAGGTCGTGCTATGTTTGAGCGAGAAGAGAGATAATTGAGAATTTTGCTGATAGGGAGAACATATTTGCGTATTTCATGCCTCAATGGTAGGGTATAAAATAAATAATTATTTTGTTATAAAATAGGAAAGGTAACTATAAATAATAATATTTTAAATTATTTTAATTTATAATAAATAAGGTGTAATAGTTTGCTATAGGAAATAAAATTTCCTAAATATAATTGTTATATCCGGATCAGTTAGCGCGCCTATAGAGTAAATTATTTCATAGGTTAATTTGTCACCAATATTCATTTTATACGGTGATAACATTCCCCTCGGACTTTTTATTAAAAATAGAACTAATCATTCAAACTTAGTCTTTAGACATTCTCCCTTTCTTCTCTCAAAATCAACCATCACTAATGATTTTAAATTGCAACGCCTATTTTATGCGTCTTTAGATTTTTCTGCATCGTAATATTTTTCATTTATGCTACTATACTTGTTTTTATTGCTAATCACATGTTATTTTATTCAGTAGGAAAAAATTAATTAATACTAAGCAAACAAATTCAGTTAGTAATGAATATAATTTTTTATATTGGAATTACAAAATTTGAATTAAATTAGAGAACAAGGGAGCAGTAAGAAAGGCCCAAACCAAAAACACATCTGCCATTGCACCCAAACACTTTTGGGATTTTTTCATTCATATACACTATTGGAAACTTTATTACCCTAAATATTCATGTTTAGTAAATTACTCTACCTATACAAGTTTTGTTTACAAAATGTATACATTCCACCTTAAAAGGCTCACAATCCATTATTAATGTCTTCAATTAAAGGAGGACCGTAAACCTAAAAACTATTAATTGGTAGAGGTCAAATCTACTTAATAATAAACTTCCAATCTTTGCCACATTCATGATTGTCAACAAGTCCAAGTACTGCAATTAGAGAATGAAAATTAAACAAGGACGGACAATTGGAAAATTAACGAATATTAACAAAACTTTAACGAATCTTAACAAAACTTTAACGAATATTAAAAATAGTAGAAAGATTTGTTATTTGGAAACCAGAAGACAAAGACTGTTGCAAGCTCTCTGTTTCTCCTGTTAAAGATGACATAAACGAATTTGCCGGAAATGCAGAAGCAAAATTAATAGTTGTAGATGATTTTTTTTCTCTCAATTGACCCATTTTTGACCAATTGAATATGTGATAAAGGAGGTAAACGTTGAATTGGTGTTGGACAGTAAATTTTGGGAATATTTGTTTGTGGCTTTTCGATTTCTTCTATTTGGAGGTTCTGATTTTTTATAGAGTTTTGATCTAATCTTTGTCGCTAGGGTTTAGGAGGAAGAAGAGGAGTAGAAATTATACCTTTACGAAATCTGGCATGACCAATTGTGTTTTTGTCAAGTAAAGAAATGAACTTTTTGAATTTGTTAACAACAACATTAGCTACGACTGTGTAATCAGCAAATACAAGCGGGTTTTGATATAATCTTTGTTGTTGTTGTTGGTTTTGATGAGATTGAGAAAGCAAACAGATTAATTTCATACAACTAATTATATATTATACAATTTATCTATAACTTTCATATATTATTTCTACCCAGTTAAATACAATTACAATAACATACAACTTAAATACAAATTTTATACAATATGTCTTTCGTATATTTTGTATCTGATTTATACATAGTAAAAATAAATTCCACACAACTAATTATATATTATACAACTTATCTATAATTTTCATACATTATTTCTACTCAGTTATATATAACTACAATATCATACAACTTAAATGTAATTTTTATATAATGTTGTTCAACTTTCATACGATAGTTAAATAAATAAAAGAAAAATATATAAATAACAGAATATAATTTTTCTTCAATTTTACTATAATTTCTGTAGTATAATGTATGTCATGTCTTCTTCTTCTTCTTCTTCTTCTTCTTCTTCTTCTTCTTCGAGTTTCAATCTGAAATTCAGCTAAAACCAAGTCTAATCTTCATCAAAACCCCTCAAAATTGAGATATAAACTCCAAACCATATTTTCAATTATTTGCAACAACATCAAATCCAAACAAATAATGATTTTTGAAAATTCGAATTCGAATTCAAAACTTCAAAGTTTTTTAATGGTTGTCAATGATGAAATTACTGCTCTCTTTTCCTTTGCTTTACATTACTGAAATTTGGAATTGAGAGATAGAGAGAGACGTAGAGAGAATTCTCAATTCTTTGCAACAAAATCCAATCCAAACAAACAATGTTTTTTGAAAACCCAAATTCGAATTCAAAGCTTCAAAGTTTTTTAATGGTTGTCAATGGTGGAATTGTTACTCTCTTGTGCAAGATACGTTGGGGGGGATGTGAAGAGAGAAACGTGGGGGAGTGGAAGATATGTTAGAATAATTTTAGGACACTAATTATTATCATTAATTACCTTAAAATGTACATAAATGGTAATTGGGTATATAAAATGTAATTATAGTAAAACTTGAGTAAGGAGGGTAATATAGTTTCATATAGTATATAGGAATGTAAAAATTCCAAACACTTTTACCATCCGAAATAAAATGATAGTTTATGGCGTGAGCCAAAAGTAAAAAGAAATCCAACTAACTATTTGAAAAAATAATATTATATAGCCGCTCTCAAAGTAATAATCGAATATGTATACTATATTTTTAGTATATAGTATACATTATGTATGTTATATACAAAAATTATATAAATTTTATATACTTTTTCGACTATGGAATATAAATAGTTTTTGGCGCAAATTAAAAGTGAAAAAAATCCATACTATTGCTTGAACGGACGAGTAATAAATGTCAGAGGCGAGTCACCGGTCATTTAACTCACCGGATTCCGTCAACAAATACAGTTCGGAAGACGGTCAATGGGTTAAAATTAAATTCAATTCCTTGCTTACACACACAAGAGTAAGGAGTCAATGTTGAACAAAATCTTAGTAGAAAGGAGAAAGAATCTTCTTTTTTATTCTTTTCTACTACTAATATTTATGCTTATTTTAATCCAGTGAGAGAAGAGTGACAAACTCATTGACTAATAAACCCCTGTTTCCTGTATTAAATTTGTCATCTTGCTGTAATTAATTCTCATAATCTTCATGTAATTCCAGATCCCAACATATCCAAACGGAAAAAAGGCAACAAAAACAAAACAGAAAAAGAAGAAAAAGAACAAATTTTGTGTGTGTAAGTGTAAGTAAAAGAAATTCTTGGGATCTGAATGAACTGTCTTCACTCTGGCTTTTCATCTTTTTCTTGCTTAAATCTCTGTTTTGTTACAGTAAAAGTTGAGCTTAGAAAAATCAACAAAAGAAAGAAGATAAAAAGAGGTACACATTTTTTTCACAGTCTTCACGGAAGATTTTAAGATTTAGAGGGAGGGGGGTGGAGGGGGTAGTGAGTGAAAGAGTCAACCAAACCTTTTTCTGTGCTGTTTTGGATGTATGTATATGTAAGGCTTCGATGAGTCCACAATATTGCGCATTATCTTCACCTTTTTGTGTTTTTTTTCTCCCATTAGTTTCTACTATTCTACCTCCCTTTCTCTCTCTCTCGTCTCTTCTCTTGTCTTTGCAAAACTGAAAAAATAAAGCCTTTTAAGCCTTCTTTTCTCTCTCTCTCACTTCCTTTTCCTTTTTTTATGTCATGAACCAAAAAGTTTATCTTTTTTTGTTTTGTAAAATAAAGTCAAGCATGCAGAGATACATATAACAAAACAGAAACAGACCCTCAAAACTAGGGTTTTGCTTGCTTAAACAATTCTTTTAAGCTTCTGCTTTTGTATTTGCAACTAAGAGTGGTTTTAGATATATACAGAAAAAGGTCCCCTTTATTTTTTGGTTTTATTTTAGGGTAAGGAGAGAAGAGGAATTTTAATTGGTACTGTTATTTAAGGAAAGTATAGAGAAGAGAAAGGCAAGAAGTACTAAACGGAAGCAAAAGTAAAGGGTGTTTTGCTTTCTTTCCTTCTTCTTCTTCTTCTCTCTTAGAGTAAAAATTAGAGAGGAAGTTGGAGACATTTGGATTCGTCCTTGTGTCTCCTCTACCTCTCATAATTTTTCTCCCTACTTTTCCTTTTCCTCACTCCTTATTCTCTGTTTATAGCTGATTTTTAGCTCAAAAGATACACTGAATCTGTTATATATACAAATAATAAATACAGCTAAGTGCTTTGAGACTGTGTTGGTTTTATTTCATGAATTTTGGGGATTTTCTTGATAATACTTCTGGTGGTGGTGGTGGCGGCGGTGCAAGAATTGTTGCTGATATACCATTTAATAACAACAATAGCAATAGTAGCAACAACAGCAGCAGCAACAACAACAACATGCCCGCTGGTGCAATTTCTCAACCACGTCTACTTGCTCAATCTCTTGCCAAATCCATGTTCAACTCTCCTGGACTTTCTCTTGCTCTTGTAAGCCTTAAAAAAAGCATAAAAATTGAATCTTTTTTGTTACCACTTTCTTTTTTTAACTGTATAAAACCCTTTTTATAATTTTTTTTCTTTTGTTGGGGGCAGCAAACAGGCATGGAAGGGCAAAGTGAGATAACAAGAATGGCAGAAAACTACGAGGGAAATAACAGTAATGGTAGAAGAAGTAGAGAGGAAGAACCAGACAGTAGATCTGGAAGTGATAACTTAGAAGGTGCATCGGGTGATGATCAAGATGCTGCCGACAAACCACCAAGGAAGAAAAGATATCACCGACACACTCCTCAGCAAATCCAAGAACTTGAATCGTAATCATTACCATCTTTTCAATTGAAAAAAAGGATTTTTTTCGAGCTTTAGCTTTTTTCTTATGAGATTTTTTTCTTTTTTTGGTTTTCTAGTCTCTTCAAAGAGTGTCCTCATCCTGATGAGAAACAAAGGTTAGAGTTGAGCAAAAGGCTTTCATTGGAGACTAGACAAGTTAAGTTTTGGTTCCAAAATCGTAGAACTCAGATGAAGGTAAAAAAAAAAAGATTCAATTTTTATGGCTTTAAAAGATTCAATTTTTTATGGGGTTTTTCTTTTATCAATAATGATGAATCTTGATTGCACCAGACTCAACTGGAACGCCATGAGAATTCAATACTAAGGCAAGAGAATGATAAGCTTCGAGCAGAAAACATGTCAATAAGAGAGGCAATGAGAAATCCAATTTGCACAAACTGTGGTGGTCCAGCAATGATTGGTGAAATATCTCTAGAGGAACAACATCTTAGGATTGAGAATGCTAGGCTGAAAGACGAATTAGATCGAGTTTGTGCACTTGCTGGCAAGTTTTTGGGGAGACCAATCTCATCTTTAGTTAACGCTATGCCTCCACCAATGCCTAATTCAAGTTTGGAATTGGGAGTTGGAAACAATGGATTTGGTGGTTTAAGTAATGTACCAACAACACTACCCTTAGCTCCTCCTGATTTTGGTGTTGGGATTTCAAATTCTTTGCCAGTGGTGGCTTCAACTAGACAAACAACTGGAATTGAGAGATCACTTGAAAGATCCATGTATTTAGAACTTGCTTTGGCTGCTATGGATGAACTTGTAAAAATGGCACAAACTGATGAACCCCTTTGGTTCAGGAGTGTAGAAGGTGGTAGAGAAATACTAAACCATGAGGAATACATGAGGTCATTTACTCCTTGCATTGGTATGAGACCAAACAGTTTAGTTTCTGAGGCTTCCAGGGAGACAGGCATGGTTATAATCAATAGTTTGGCTCTTGTTGAGACATTAATGGACTCAGTGAGTAATTTCTTTTAGCTTTCTTGATTTGCACTTTTAGGTATCTAAATCCTATAGCCTTTGTCAGTGATGATAATTTGATGTCATGTTTTTGATGATTAAGCTGGGTTACATTTAATTTTGACAGAATAAATGGGCAGAAATGTTTCCATGCTTGATTGCTAGAACCTCAACAACAGATGTTATATCAAGTGGTATGGGGGGTACCAGAAATGGTGCACTTCAGCTGGTAAATTCAATATGCACTTTTTGAATTTCAGTGTTATATTTTAGTCCTTGGTAAAATCCTATTATTGCAAATATAACACATTAAATATGACTGAATTCTTTGCAGATGCATGCTGAACTGCAAGTGCTTTCACCATTAGTACCAATAAGAGAGGTCAATTTCCTGCGTTTCTGCAAGCAGCATGCTGAAGGGGTTTGGGCTGTCGTTGATGTGTCTATTGATACCATCCGAGAAACTTCTTCTAATGCACCGACATTTCCAAACAGTAGGATACTTCCTTCTGGCTGTCTAGTTCAAGATATGCCCAATGGCTATAGCAAAGTAATTTCTCCTTCTCTTTCAACTATATATTTTTTAATAACATTAGTTTTAGAGGGAATGAGAGCTTTGGCGTAATTGGTAAAGTTGTTACCATCACGAGTTCAAATCGTAGAAACAACCTCTTCTTGCAGAAAAGCAGGTTACATTAAGGCTGCGTACAATAAACCTTTGTGATCTGACCTTCCCGGACTCCACGCATAGCTGCAGCATACTGCACGGGGCTATTCTTTAACAGTAGTTTTAGAGTCGACTTATTATTTCTCGCTAGTGCAAGTATTAGACAACTTTGTCCACTAAGACTTCTCATAGAACACAATATTTAGTGTGTCATTTACTATAGCATTCAATGAGTGCACATCCATGGGGTAGCTATTCTTTGCTCTTTTGTGTTTAATGAGTTTGGTTGAGCTAACTACAAATTTTTGGAGCTTAGTTCAAGACGTTGAATTGGACTAAGCTAGTCCCTTGATTAGATTTTTGAACCTGATAAGATGCTGATTGTAGGGGACAGAAGAATATTAAAGTCTTCAAATTTCAGCAACTTCCTGCTTAAGATGAGCTTAATATTAATATTGTATGATCACCGTACGTGTGGAAATCGAGGCTAGTGTGATTAATAAATTAAATAGAAGCCTCCATTACTTCTATTTTTGCGCCTTGGGACACATTAATTTCATATGATTCAGAAAGAAAAAAAGATGCCTTGTAATTCTCAAACATTGGTTTAAATAAACAATGTATTTGATGTTTCTATTCCAATCTCTGATGCTGTCTCGATCAGTCCCCCGTGTCTATAATTAATTCATCTAACTGTGTATTATCTGGTTCCAGCCTTATGATGTGTTTGTTTTTTATACTAGTAAAGGACCTTTTAGTCAAACTCCAAGACTGACTATTATTTTGTTGTCACGTGAGTATCTACAAGGTCTAAAGCTTTGTAGTACATTTCTCAATGTCTACAGCCTACCTCGTGCCTTCAAATTTGCAAAAAATTGGTGAAAACTTGTATTTTAATGCCTTCCACTTTTAGGGTTCTAGGTTCTATAATGTCTCTCCTTGAACCTAACCTTTCTAGGCCCATTTCCAAGATTTGTCGTGTATCATCACAAAAACTTTATTTTCCATTTCGCCTTTCCCATGGCATAATAAAGTATTTTTTTATATTATAATTTTTTGGGTTTTAGACCATATTATGGTTTAAAAAATTGTAGTAGCACCAATAAGTTGTTCGGTCACTTTAATCATCAAGAAAACTTTTGTTAGGACATTTCCTGTTAGATTGCTTCGGAATTGGAAATACTTGGCAAAGGTGGAAAAATACTAATGCCAAAAATTTACACCATAGATTACAATTTTGGTAATAGATGAATATGATTCATGTTATCATTTATTTGCAATTAATAAAAAACAAAACTTGGACTTTCCAGATACAATCAATCTTCAGTAGTTAACATGTCTCAATTTGAAATTAATGTTAATATAGTTGAGTTTTTCATTTTCCTTGAGAAGGTTTCAATTTTAAGCAAGTTTAGAGTGACTATATAAATTCGCACTGTCAATTGAATTGTGCAGGTTACATGGGTAGAACATGGCGAATATGATGAGAGCGTGATTCACCATCTTTACCGGCCTCTGATCAGTGCCGGAATGGGCTTTGGTGCACAAAGATGGGTGGCCACACTCCAACGTCAGTGCGAATGCCTTGCAATTCTCATGTCCTCCACCGTATCTTCAAGGGATCACACGGGTATACATTAGCTCCATTGTTCAATGAATCAACCCCTTTCATGTGATGAGTCCCTTACATTTTCTGTGACTAAAAAACAATCACATGCAGCAATAACTCCAAGTGGAAGAAGGAGCATGTTGAAGCTAGCACAACGCATGACAAACAACTTTTGTGCTGGTGTTTGTGCTTCTACGGTACACAAGTGGAACAAACTTTGTGCAGGTAATGTGGATGAAGATGTCCGTGTTATGACCCGAAAGAGCGTCGATGACCCTGGGGAACCACCGGGCATTGTTTTAAGCGCTGCTACTTCTGTTTGGTTGCCGATTTCCCCACAAAGACTCTTCGATTTCCTCCGCGACGAACGTCTCCGGAGCGAATGGGACATCCTCTCCAACGGTGGTCCTATGCAAGAAATGGCTCACATTGCCAAAGGCCAAGATCATGGCAACTGCGTCTCCCTCCTCCGTGCTAGTGTAATTTCTTTAACCCTTAATTTTTTAAAAGAAAATAAATTAATACTCCATCATGCCAGAGATATTAATTTTGATCGGATAAAAAATAGGGTGTGAGGATAATAATGCATGGCGTTAATAGATGAATGCATGTAGAATGATTGATTGTATTTGATTGATCTTGCATGGGTGGGGTTCATTTTCTTAAGATATAAAAAGGTAAATTGAAAAGGACAAATAAGGGAATTTGGAATTATCTCTAAACGACATTTGATTGCAGATCTGTATTTTTAACTTTGTTGTTTCTTTTGTAAATTTGTAAAAAGTCAAAACACATGACACTTGTTACCTTTTTTTGGTCAGCCCTACCACATGATATCACCTTTACATGAAAAGTCCTAATCCCTAGTTGACTCAGTTTTTAAACACTGTAACAGAAATTGACGTATTATACCGCAGAATGGCACTCTTCGTAAATTCATTCATACTGAGGGTTTATTTAATTGACAGGCTATTAACGCGAATCAGAGCAGCATGTTGATACTTCAGGAGACGTGCATAGACGCGGCAGGAGCGCTTGTTGTTTACGCACCAGTTGATATCCCGGCAATGCACGTGGTGATGAACGGTGGTGATTCTGCGTACGTGGCTTTGCTCCCTTCGGGATTCTCGATTGTACCCGACGGCCCAGGATCTCGTGGGTCTAATACTGCCAATTGTGGGTCCAATGGGCCATCATGTAATGGGGGCCCAGATCAAAGAATTAGCGGGTCACTATTGACGGTGGCTTTCCAGATATTGGTGAATAGCCTCCCTACAGCCAAGCTTACAGTGGAATCAGTCGAGACAGTCAATAATCTTATATCATGCACTGTTCAGAAGATTAAAGCTGCCCTTCATTGTGAAAGCTAATTGGGAGAAGGATCACGTGATGATGATTTGACTTGGGGCATACCGCCCTTTTTTTCTATTTGTTCTATAATTAATATATAACTTAACTAGTAACTATTGTGTTTAGTTGAAGGGGGCTGAGTCAAGAACTCGAGCAGAATCGGAGGCTGAGTCAAGAACGAACCGCGCCTAAACGACCGTTGCTAGGTGGTAAGGGCCGGCATGGACCAGAGCGGTTCAACCAAGCCTAAGGTTATAGTTTTGGTTCTTAACACAAAGCAAAGGTGGTGGTTCGGGTATTGACTCAGGACCTAAGTGTTGGTTTCAAGCTGTGGTGAAAATTGGTAAAATGAGCACAAGGGTGAGTTTGATTTCAAAATATGGAATTTTCATTTTGGGCAATTTGTGTGACAGCAATGTCAATTAAAGCAGATTTTATAGTTGTTTGTTTGATGGGGAGTCATAATGGCTCTTTTGTTTGGTATGGTGGGGGACTAATCTAGTATTGTACGTTATCTTAATTGACTTTAACTCCACTGTCTTTGTCATGTTTATTTCTTTGCCAATATGGTCTAGGTTCACATCTGATCACAACTGCAAATGTTTTTTCTTTACCTTTTGCAAGTGAAAGTTGTAATATATATCTTTCTAATAATAAGTTCAATTATCCATTAAAGCTTAAACAAGTCTTCTTCATTCTTGTGGACAATGTTAGTTATTTTGTACAATTTTTGGTTAAAATTAAAAAAAATAAAGATTATTGTTTACCCTCAAAATTGTATAACAATTAAATTTGTAAGTGATTTTAAGGATACACGGATTAATTTGACACAAAGCTATAAATTGGATTAGATTGAACAAGTAAAGATAGAATTAAATTCAAACCACACGAATAGGACAGTATCAGCCTTAGTGAAATGTTCACCCTCGATCCGGGCTCATTGTAGCCGGCATTGATGAACAAGAGGAAAAAGCTAAATAACAAAGAAAAAGATGATATATTGCTTTGGAATGCGTGATACAAGGCGTTTCATGAATTATCAGACCCCCTTTATATAGTAAGGAGTCCAAACTTAGATACAACTCTATAAAAGGTAAAAAAATCTTCTGATTAACTGATTACCGGCTCTTTATCGATACGTGCCGAGATCCCCACCGTGATATCCGGCCGGTCAAGGATATTTCGGCCTTCCGTTGGCTATGCTTGATTGTCCGATAATGTTCCTCGAAGTCGTTCGAGGTCAAGACCAATCCGGGACTATGACCCCGATATTCTCGGGGGCAGGCGTCATGCCCCCGGATTCCGACTCGACGAGACTTTCGCATCGATGTCGGCCCCTTGACATCATGTCTCAAGCCCGGCTTATCTTGTTGGAGGTCAAGGTGCACCATGAGCTCGATTTTATCCGTATACAAATTTTTTAAGTCGAAATTTAAAGAAAAAATAGTGTTTGGATAAACTTCACTTAAAAACACTTTTAAAATGTGTGAGTAAACTATTATTTCACTTCAAATTCTTCTTAAATAAATATTTTAATATCTCATGAATATTTGTAAATAATAAATTTTTGTATTTGAACAATCACGTTAGCTATGTTTTTGTTGTTGTTGTAATGAAATTTTGCATCTGTAAAATACCATTATTAAATTAATATTTGTCAATATTAAACTTTAGTGTTTACAAATACTTCAATATTATTGATCACGCCCAATTATGCCTTTGAAAAAGGACTAAACGGTCGTTGCAAATATAATCTGATTTACAAGTCCGGAGTCGAATCCCACAGAGAACTAAGGTTTCAATATAACTGTTCAATATCACTAAGATATCAAGTTCGAATAAATTCCTAAGTTATAAAGATTAAGATCCTTATATCTAACAAATTAAAGTAGTAAATTATAACCTAGAGATACTAACGTTTGGAGAAAAGATTAAGGAGAGATCTAGAGTTATGATTTTCTCTATTGTCGGAATCTCCACCGCTACGTTTCCTATAAATTCGCTTAAGTATTCTCTAACGATCGTGAGCACTTTGGGTGTCGTAGCTCTCTCTCGAGCAACTACCACAATTTACTAGACATATTCTGTCGAACTACGCTAGCTGACACTAATTCACCGCTTACTATGATCGCACCAAGATTTCGTTATCTCTAATCCTGCCTTTAAACCCTCCGTATTGATCTCTCACATACGTTAGGAGTGATATTGTTCAACAACTACCTAAATGTGTACTCTCTCTCTCGATCAATATACACACTAAATAGGCGCAGTTAATTGAGAGCTCTTCAATCAACAACAACAAAAATATAGTTGAACAAGTAGAGAAAAATCAATGGCAAATCTATATTAAACGTAGTAGAAAATCATTCTCCAATAGGTTCCATCAAACCCTAGATTAGGAAGCTTAGCTACACATAACCATACTAACAATTATGATAATTAAGTATTAAACAATAGATTAAGGAAGAGCGGAAGAGAAAACTCTTGTGATTCATTGTTTCCAAGTGTTCTCGTAGCCTTCGTGCTTCTCCAATAATGTCTATCCCCTAAGAAATATGTTTAGAACTCCTTTTATACATGTTGGGGGCGTGTAGGGTTGAAACTATCAAGTCCTAGCCAAATTAGGACGAAATCCGCCCTTAGCCATCTTGCTTCGTGCCTGTCACCAATCAGGACACCGAAATTTCCACTATTCTGCTTTTGACGTTTTGGTTGGTGCCTGGTACCAACCTGGGTACCAAACTCATTCTCCCTCCAAAATTCTTCTATTTTTACTTCACTTTGCATGCAAGCTTGCCAAATCGTTTCAAATTGACTTCTACACATATAAACATCATTATTAAGCTCGAGTCACAAATATTTATATCAAAGTTAACAAGATTGATATATAATACAAAGTAAATTACACGCGAAAACATGAATTTTTAGCCAAACATCAATTATTCATAGCCAAATAGAAGTGCTTGCTCTACGGTCAATAAAATATGAGCTATACTAATTTCGTACAAGACCCTAAAAAGTTGAACGAGGACAGGTGGCCATGTTCTCTTTGAATTTGCATGATTTGGATAGAACATAGAGAAGGAGATGAGAGTATAATTTGATTGTATAATTTGAGTTCGCAATCCAATCGTGTTCACACTCCTTTTTATTTCATTTCATCCAAAAGTAAATAAAGAAAATATCAATAACACCAAAATATCTAAAACCGGAAAGGTTGGCATTTCAAATGCAAATATGAAGTGAAAGGAGGCGAAAATTATGCATTTTCTGTTTCGTTGTATTCCATATAATTCACTACATCAATTTGATTGCAAAAGCACATCTTCAGATTTAAAATGAGGAAATGACATAATCTTTCTATGTTGTCTTTGCAATTGTTAAGAGTACTGTATATGTTTGATGTATGAGAACAAGCCTTATATAGTTAGATGTTGATTTTTTTAACTACCATATCTAGAGTTGAAATTTGTCATGAGCCGCACCAAGCGTCCCAAAAGATTATACTGTAGTTATGATGTATGGATTGTTTGACCGAAAGATATTGAAACCTTTTTTATTAAATCAATTAATGAAGATGAAGAGGTAAATCTCAGCCAAGTATAATAAAATCTAGATGAAAAGATGCAAGGGATGAACAAGGTGAATATTGCTTCTTAATATATCGAAACCAAATGATTAAGCGTCAATATGATAACTTCGGTTGTAGGAAAATACTGCAATGGATGCTCTTAGCCAAGATCAAAATGATGTATGGATCTCCGAATTGTAATAAACAAGAATTGTCGTTTTTGTATTCACTTTTTGATCCCCTTTACAAAATGTTCTCCCCCTATTTATCAGAGACAATCCTCTTTTAAACCCTAAAAAGATACAACATAAGGAATATTCGAAAAGCATATTCCTGTTGTCTCCTGCTACGCTTACATTGCTAAGGACGATGTATGCTCGCTAACCACTGTCGGTCGTCGCCCTTTACAATGATCAAAGGATGCTACATCATAAGGACATCTTTCCTCGCCGTACTCAGTAGTGGTCGTGGTCGTCCAAATTTGGACTCATACAGTTAGTCCCTCCGCTTGTCGAGGTCGCGACCTAGTGCGTCCTTGATAAGCAGGCGTCGCCTATACTTGCGGAGAAATTTGGCTTGCGAATCATGACGGTTTGGCCAACAACGGAAGAGTAACGCGCCTCACGATACCCTGGGTGGTGTGTCTTATTGGGGAAGTGTTGTCATTTCCACGTGCGTCATCATTACGCTTTCTCCCGAGACAGTCTGACAGTTTGTCGCTTCGGTTTTGGTGCTATTTGTAGCCTTCCGCTTCGATTCTGGCGCTACCCAACCCTATAAATAGATGAAGGGTTTGTATTTTCAAAAACTCTTGGCCATTTCTTCTTTGGTTATCCCCTCTCATATCTCCAGCTTTTGTTCTTATGATTTCTTTGCTTCCTCTCTTCCGTTCACCGTTCTTGATTCTTCTTTCTTCTACTAACACAACTTATGCTATAGACATGCCTAGAACATATCGGTCGCGTGAGGGGGTTTCCGACGCCAACCCATTATCCATGGCGCCTCCCTCTGGTGGCGAGGACAAGACGGTGGAGGAGGGGGACAGTTTTCCCACCGTGGATGAGTTACTGTCGAGACACCCCATGTCTCGAAGTGACTTCCTTAAAGAGCCTGCTCCTACTCCCGCTCCGGTGTTATCTGAAATTGAGCAGGCCTATATAGATGCCCTCCGTACTAAGTACAACATTCCCTCTCATGTCGAGATGGTTCCATCGGGGAGGGACTTCATGGAAGTCCATAGACTGGGGTATTGCACTTTTTATGAATATCCCTTTGTGATTGGTCATTCCTTCCCCCTTCTCCCGTTAGAAGAAGAATTCTGTCGGTTTTATCAGGTTTGCCCGGCTTAGTCGTACACGTACAAAATATTTCTGGTGTTGACAAAGTACGCAGAGTTGGTGGGGTGCGAAGTTGACATTCAATGCCTTTTACACTTGTTTTCCCTAGTTTTAATAGGGGTAATATGGTGCATTTGAGGCACCGTGGGACCAAAAGGCTGGTGGTCGGAACTGACGACCGGGCGAGCCGTAAATTTTGGCACAAGTATTTCTTTGTCAGAACTGAACACATTATGTCGGATCCTACTGGTTTCCCAGAGCGGTGGAATAATAATCGTAGGTGCCACAACCCGTTTACTCTTTCTTTTTTGTGTATTATTCGACTTGATATTTATCTGCGGCTTTATTTTGCAGTTGTGGGGCATACACCCCGTCCCATTGTCGGTATAAGGGACTGGGTAGCCCGTTTACTGTATCACGCAGCGGAGACTCGAGACTAGCCCTCTTTTGTCAAACGTTTTGGGCCGAAGGTGTCATCTGGTAAATGTTTTCTTTTGTACCGCTCTTCGGTTGTTTGCCACTGTCTGTTGATACGATTCTTTGTGATGATAGGTCGTGGAATTTCTAGGCGGAGGGCCAAACTTCCTTGCATTTTGCCAGGCCGTCGCTTCGGCAGGGATGCAGTTTACTTTGGAGGAGTCCGTC